ATTAAAGGTGTGTGCCACCACCACCCGGCTTAAATATGATTTTTTAAAAAAGGTTGTTTTCCTGCCTGCATGTTTGTTTGTGCACTGTGTATGTATGCCTGGTGTCCAAGGAGGCCAGAAGAGGGCATCTGATTTGCTGGAACCAGAATCACAGAGGGCTGTGGGCCTTCATGTGGGAGCTGGGAATTGAACTTGGATCCTCTGCAAGAGCAAGTACTTTTAACTGCTGAGTCAACTCTTCAGCCCCCAACATAATTGTTATAAAATCCTTAAAATCGAAGGTCAGGGTCAACATGTGCATGTCCTTTATTTTGTTTGGTGTTTGAGACAGGGTCTCCTGAAGCCCAGGAAGCCCTTTAACTCACTGTTTAGCTGAGGCTGAACTTGAACTCAGGATTCTCCTGCTTCCTTTGGGGGGGGGGGGCTTTGATTATGGGTAAGAGTTTCCAGGCGCAGGGGATTGACCCTAGGACATTCAGCATTCTAGACAGACGTTTTACAAACTGGAACTGAACTACATCTGCAGCTCCTCCTTAGCTGTTTTCAAAAATCCACTTTATTTTAATTATTTTAAAATATAAAATGCTTTATGAACTTGTCACTACTGCATAGGGTCCATGTTAATCTTTTCTATGTTGCTTCAATTTCGGTATATGTACTGCCAAAATGAATACCAAAATTCTATTTAATAATAATCACCTCTCAAACAGAGACTTCTTCAAGTTCTCCAAATAAGAGTTACCCCTTGGGCTGGAGAGATGGTTCAGTGGTTAAGAGCACTGTCTGCTCTTCCAAAGGACCTGGCGTCAATTCCCAGCACCCACACAGCAGCTCACAACTGTCTGCAACTCTAGTTCCAGGTGGTCTGACGCCCTCACACCAATGCACAGAAAATAAAATTAAATAAGAAAGAGTTGATCCTTTATCCAACAGGCACACAAACAGGCATAAATAACAACAAAACATGTTTTACCCTGTGCTTGGTGAATGCAGTGACATCCTAGCCATACATCCTTCCGTATTGTTTATATCGGTGCTTTAAATTGTGCATGTCAGTGTGGGCACCAGCATGACACAGTGTGTGTTTGTAGGTCATAGGACAGCTTGTGGGATTCAGTGTTTTCATTTCACCAATGGCCCTAGGGATGGAACCCAGCTTGTCTCATCACTGCATTTGCCTGCTGACCCATCTGCCCCGCCTGTAATTTATTTTTTCTCTATGTGTATTTAGAGGTTTTGGGTTATAAATGTTCCTTCTAGATACTCCTGTACAACTAAGTTGAGAGCCTGACTCTGTCAATCCCTTTAATTTGTTTTTATGTCCTCCCAGTGTTCATGACACATGAGGGTGTCATGATGCGGAGAAGAATGACTGGTCTTGTTGGATCTGCCCACGCTGACATATCTACGCTTGAGTTAAAATTTCCTAGACTCAGTCCCTTGTCAGCTGGGTCATGGTTCTCTTCTTCATCATCTTTTTTTTTCTTTTTTTTTTTTTTTTGGTGCTCTCTAATGGACTTCAGCTTATATAACTTGCATGCCCAAGGCCTCCTTCTTGCCATTTCATAATTTTTCTTTCTATGATTTTCACACACAACATTGGACATTTTTCTATAAACTGTAGAGGTCAGAGGTCAGCTGAACTCTCAAAATAACTTTTTTTTTGAGATAGGCTGTCTCTCTGTAGTCTTGGCTATCCTGGACTCATTTTGTTCAAGGCTGGCCTCGAACTCACAGAGATTGCCTGCCTCTGCCTCCCAGAATGCTGGGATCACAGGCGTGCACCACTTCAAAATAATTTTTTTTGATGAGTGATTTTTCTTTTATTTTGTGTGTTCATGTTCATATGTGGGCGTTTGCTTGCACATGTGTGTGGAGGTTGACACCCCACTTAAGCAGGGCATCAAACTCATATCCTCATGTTTGAGCAGCCGGCTCTTTACACAGAGCAATCTCCCTCATTGCTCAGAACAAAGTTGTAACGTTTTTACCCTTAGTAAACAATTTTTGCTTTGGCCATCCTTTTAGCAGACGTTTTGTTCTCTCCCCAGTAGCAGTATTTTTGGAGTGTTTCTTCCAGTCAGCTGATTTGCAGAATTGTCTAAAGTAACACTAATTTTCCTGCAGCAATTGAAACAAATGTTTCCATTTTGAAAAGGTCTGCTGGAAAAATAAAGACTTGTAATTCAAATGAATGGAGAGATTGTTAGATTGTACTTAGGAAAAGGGCTGTTTATATTTTCCCCAAGAAAATAAACACTATTCAAGATATCCATAAGTAAACTTAGACATAGGTTCTATATAAATCCTTACGAATCATGACTGATGGTACAGCTGTGCTAATTCTCCATTTTCAGTAGACAAGTATTTATTAAATGGATATACAGTGTTAGCAACTAACTGAAAATATGCAGAACTGTAACAATTGCATCATGTTAAGCACATTACACAGTTTTCTGTTCAGAAAAATTATAATCCAGGGAGAAAATGTTTATATCTTTCCTCAAAGGAGACATTGCGTTTTGAAGGATTGCTATAAAAATGAAATCTGATTTTAATTTAGTATATAATTATGCAACATAGATTGTGTATTTTTTTCTAAATATTATAATCTCAAGGCTTGTAGGTGTTAGGGCTACCCATTTTTATAAAATTTGTGTTTATGTGCTTCAGGCAATTTTGTTGACTTTTACAGCATTCATTAAAAAAAAAGCAAAGAATTGATTCACTCATTCGCTTAAATATTGAGCAAGATATCAGGCAATATTAAATATTTAAAAAAAATAAAAAAAATAAAGGTGAGTGGATTCTTACCATAAGGGATGCTCTAATTTATTGAATGTTTATTGGCTGGTTATAGACGTAAGTAATAGCACCCAGCCTGTCTCATCCTGACCATATTTTTTACTAGATATCCAAAAACCGACAACTTGGACATAACCTTTTAAAGATTATTTGATTTAGTTTCTTGTGTTGACGAAGGGAAAAAACCCAATTCCTTCAGGCTATTGGCTTTTTTTTCCTTTTTTCTTTCCAAGCACTTCCAGGGATAAAGCAACCCATCCCAATTCAAATAGCCTGGCTTTGGTACTGGACGATAATGGTTAAATGCTTACCTGAGACCTCGACAGGGAGAGCTGCATTAACATAGGTAACTTCTAATTCTCACGAAGGCCTTACAAATAAGTCTATTCTAGTACGTTTTTTTTTTTTTTCTTCTCTTTCAGCAAGTACTCTACGACTGAGCTGTGTCTTCATCTTTTAAAACTGATAAATTTAAAAACTTTTGAGTTTGCCAGGTAGCCCTTGAACTTGTGCTCCTCGTTCCTCAGCCATACCATACTGGAATTAAAGAAGTATGCCACTACCCAAGGTTTACTTGCTTGCGTATCTATCTATCTATCTATCTATCTATCTATCTATCTATCTATCTAT